AGTGATGCCCGCAGCTGAGCGCCCTGGCGCTGTCCGAAAGACTCTCGTAACACACCGGACACTCGCTGTCCTGAGCCTCCTCATCCATGTCTCTCCGGTTTTAAATAACTCCACCTGGATCCCCTCGACTGGCTCTGAGATGCTGGACTGCGAGCAGACGCACACTGGCGCAGGTAACTGATACTCCCGTAAGATAACATGCTCGCGCCGTGACGACACAGCCGCTGTCACGCCAGAAATGTTGAAAAACTAGATCTGTTGTTAAAAGAAGATGAAACTAGAACCAGTTCAATGTAAACAGTGCAGTTGTGCAGTTTTCAAGTATTATTAGTGTCGTTTGTTTGGTGTGTGTGTGTGTATATGTTTTTTCCCTAACATATACATAACATTTACACATAGCCTGCTATAACAGCTACTACATTCTATAATTTATAGAATTTAATTAACTGTCACCCGTCCCCTCAGTGGAACGCCTAAATTCACTATATTACAATAAAATCCTAATCTAATCATGACAAATATCGTTGGAAAGGTCTAAGACTCCTAAATAGATATTTTACCATTTTTTGTTAAAAAATTATGTAGGAAAAGTAATAGATTAATTTATGACAAGAGTGCACCTCAAAAATCTGCATCATAACAGGAGTTCTGACCTTTGTCACAAAAAGCCTTCTTCGTTGCCGGTTTCTCTATCACACTTAAGCAATCATCAGAAATTATATATCAATTGAAAACTTAAAATCTCAAAATCCATCCTTTGAAAACCATTTTAAAATCAGACATTGCATTACCATGAAAATGGTACATCAAAATCATGTTACAAAATGTTTTAGTTCATGAATTATTTAGTTTAGATCGTGCACTTTCACGACTATGTTCAAAAATGTGAGTGACAGTTAAGGGGTTCATAATAATAATAAATTCTAGTTATTTATTATTTAATTATTATTACAACAATAATATTAATGCATTATTATCATTATATGTTATTATATGGACATTACATGGCAATATTTATAGAGAAAAATAAACAAAAAGAGAAAATGTGTTTATAGAGAAAAAAATAACATAAAAATAAACATAGGCTACTTTCATTATTTTATTAAATATTTTCGATAATAATATTAATAATAATAATTAGTAGTAGTAGTAGAAGGAACTATTTATTGAGAAAAATAAAAAATATTTATTAATTTATTTTATGAAATATTTTCAATAATATGATAATAATAAGAGAGAGAGAAATGAAAAAGATTCTTAAATGCACAAAAAATAAAACCGAAAACAATAAGTGGTAACAATAACAATAAATAGTCACACAAAGAAATTTGAATAAACTAAATTTAATGGAGAAAAATGAAAAAAAAGTTATTTTTTTTAACTAAACATAATATGTATATTTCAAAATTATATATATATATATATATATATATATATTTAGTTTCAGACTCTATGCGTCATAAATAAGAATGTGCTTCGCGTGCGTTTCACTGAAGTTAAAATGACGCAATGACGCAATGACGCGGTGTCGTCATCTTACCGGAAGCTGAAGAGGGAAATCAGTGGAGTCGCGTTGGCATTTCTATCAGCCGACGCTCGAGCGCAGAGGAGACATCGAGCCTGTTCGCCGACTTCAGGAGTAGGACATGATAAGGTAGACATTTATGATTTAATCAGTGATAATTATACACGCCGTACTCGATGAGAAATGCGAGGCTTTATCATTTAACCAGACTGTTATCTTAAGCTGTCATTCTCTGGCCAGTGAAGACCAACAGTTTCCGAAACCTGATTTTTCATGTGCCGGTTTCTTCTGGCGTAACGTTACAGCCAAAACGCCTTTGCTTGACCGAAGTATATCGCTGGGAATTTAAACCGCCGTTGAATGAGCTTTGAAGGCAATTATTTAAATGATACAGACTCGATATTGACTTTCATTTATAAATGTTGGTCACATCCGCTGGCCTGCCGGGAGAAACGTCAACCTGGAAGATTCACGTCCGCTTTTATTCGCTTCTCAGCGAGTCAAGATTCTCGCCTTCAGTGAACTGTGCTTGTTTTGCTAATGTTAAGTATTACATCTCATCCTCGTGATTGTTTTTGAGTTGAACGATGACCGCTAGTCGTCTTCTGGTTTGGTCATCTGACGTCATTGGTCTTACGTCATGTACATCTCTAAGTAGGTATTTATTTTAATTACGCGAACGCTATTTTTTCTGTTTACGTGATGTGATTAGGTTCTTTCATCTGTTGTCAGTTATCTTGCGCTATAACATTAATGATAAATAGTACATGTATGTCTTGTACATTTATACAGAGATAAGTTGTACCTTTTAATGTATGAAAACAGTTGTTTGTATTCGGTTTACATTTTGTGACATTTGTCATCTGATGCCATTTCTGTCTTGTCACACCTAAATATATTATAAATAAACACTACGATGTTGCATTAGACACTTACATGTATGAAGCTGACTGTAAATATACTACTTGAAAGCAGGGCAGATAACTTAATGGTTGCACAGATCTCGTCCTCTAATCTTTGAGGGTATGTCACATGTTTATAGTGTATTACTCAGCAGGAGGGTGTGTGCTGAAATTGTGATTTTGGAAATAATGTCATCCTTGGAAACAAAAATCTGGCCTTTCCTCTGAACCTCTGACTGTGCGTAGCTACTGGCGAAGAGTGTAGGTTGCGGAAAGCATTGCGTTAGACAGGAACCATCCCACTGTCCTGTGGTGTGGGACAGGCGCTCTGTGGCCGGACAGATGGCCTCACTGTCAGGAGTCAGTTTGGGAGGGGCGAGGTACTCTGCATGGTGGCTTAAGACATTATAAATGACCACAATTGAAGTGACATAAGTTTTGACGGCCCTCAGGAGAGCAAATCCCACTGGAGCCCCATTCTGCTCCAGAGTAGAAAACCACTGCTGCTTTTGTGTTTTGATGGCTTTATTATTATGCACACCTGTGATTTTGTGTGTTTCTTTAGCATATGTTGTTTCTTTAAATTAGAGAGCGATCTATAGTCATTTTCGTTCATTTTTTAAATCAGTATTTTTAATTGTCTGCTTAATCTGTTCTTTAATATTGTGCCTGCCCATAAATGGCGCAATTTGTTGGGTCTTTAAAGAATAGTAACTGACGCCACTATTCCATCACTCAAAACTTAGGCCTATTTCATTTATCTTTTGACCTTTTAAATTATTTGACATTGTACTTAAGTATTACACTTATTCTCAATTAAACAATAGAATTTTAAACATACAGACTTGACCTAATGCAAAGAAAGTTTAATATTGTGACATTTACTTAAGAGTATTTATCCTGTACATTAAGTATGATCACTGAAATCTTAATTCAAAAGTTTCAGACCTGACATAAATATGGACAAGCAAACTGACAATAATGAGGGTGCGACAGGTGTTTTAGTTTTCTATTCTTTCTATTTAAATGGGTCATTTGGTTTGGAAATCCCTCATAGTTATTTAGAGCAGGAATCTAGAAGCACTGGGTCACAACATGTGACACTCCTGAGAACCCGGAAAAGAATCTGGAGTATTGCGGAGATGTGTGGAATATTTCTGATTGTTTTTGAAGCAGATCAGGTTTGTCTGCTGCCAGTTGGGTCACTGATAGAGGCCTTGAGCTGAATGAAACGGATGATTTCGGCTTAGAGCTCTTCATCATGTCAGATCTAATGAGTGATTGCATACGAGAAGACCTGCTATGATAGGAATTAATTGGATGAAATTTTCAGAAAAACACTGGATTTCTGTGCTGCTGGTCAAACAAATGATGTCCCAAAACATGGCAAGGATGAAGAATGTTAATGAGAGGTCATTTTCAGTCACACGTTTGTGCCTCTATAACTCAACATCCAGGTGTGCTTAATGGTTTTAAAAGGACAATATCTGTAGCCATTAATCTTATTCTGAGCAAGCTTTTATGTATTGAAGAACTGCTCTGTCCTTCTGTGATAAATGGCTTCACATTTGATTTCTAAAAGGCTTGTAATCTCTATAAACTGAAACTGTTGTCCTTTACTTACTTCCAAGTTATTCCAAATATGTTCTTTCTTCCGTGGAACACAAAAGGAGATCTTACACTGGATATCCATGATTTGACCATAAAATGATTGATGTGAGGGTGAGGAAATTAACAAAATCTTCATTTTTGGGTGAACCGTTTCTTTAACATTATCCAATATCCAAACCTATTAGACTTTCATTCATCTTGAAAACACAAACATAAAAGACATGCAACGTGAGATACTTCTGTCACACCAACAAAAGTCCACTCAACAAAAACTTTAAGATTCAAATGTAATCAATATGAATCCAGCAGTTTAATTCAAGTCTTCTGAAGAGACGTGGTTTAAATTAAACCTGTCCATCATGTAAAGCGATTGTGTCTTTTCTGAAGACTTAGATTAAACCGCTCAGTTCACATGGATTACTTTACAATATCCTCATAAACTATTTGAAATGTTAGAGTTTTGGTGGAACAGGCTTTCAGTAGACGGACAGAAATCCCTCAGGGTTTGTTAAAAATACCTTCATTTGTGTTTCGAAGATGAATAAAAAGTCATACAGGTTTGGAACTACATGAGGCTGACTCTGAGTAAATGATGACAGAATATTACTTTTTGGGAGAACTATTCCTTTAAGATACTATAAACATTAACATCATGATTTTCTGTAAAGCTGCTCTGAAACCATACTGTGAAAAGCGCAATACAAATGACGAAACTGAAAGGCTGCAACTTGTAAAACTGTGAGCTTGTAAAGGACCAAGTCAGTCATGTGAGCTTGGTAGAGAGCCAGGTGAACAAAGTGTTATTGGACGTGTGTCAAATGAGGACACGCACCATGGACCCTCAGCCTGTGATCTGTTTGTGGGGTTGTTCCGGGACAAAACTGTAGTAGTAGGTGCAAATGAACAAGCTCTGTGTCTCTCAGGACTGCTCTAATTCCCATCTGCTTCCACAGGTCTCCACCATGGACACAGAGATGATGCCGAAATTCTCCTCGAAAGACGAGGAAATCGATTACTGGAAGTGCTTGTCTCTGAAATACAAGAAGAGGTAGGCTGAAGTCATTAACTACTAAATATAGCAACCAGCTGAGCTTTTTACAATAGTGTGCTGTTTATCTTCACATAAAAGCCATGGGGAGTCAACCTTTTATGTTCAGCCAAACAATGCTAATTGGTTTTTAAAATCTTTGTCCTCAATATTTTAGTTCAACTTTGGCTAGCTGAGACAATAATGATTGTTTCTGTGTTCATACCTACAATCACAAGCCCCCGCGGGTGGTGAATGGCTGTAAATATGACTGCAGCACTTTTTGCCATGGAAAAACAGAGAAAATGCCACAACACAGAGAGAGCCTTTCACTGCCCTTGACAAAAGAGACCCTCTGTTAACCTGAGAAGATGTTCCATGGCTCCAGCTGTTATGTTTGGTGTCTCACAGTCTCATTTATTAAAATATGCCATGCTTGAAACATCATAATATGCTCCTGGTTACATTCTAGTTCGGCGTGATTTCTTTTTAAAGTTTCAGTTGGTTTATGTGATCGGTGAAATATTATGTGATCTTTCTCATTCCCAATGTTATTGTTAGGAAATCCATATATTTTGTAGTTTCAGGCCCAAAACGCTAGTACATGAATTGTCTGCGTATCCTCCTCTGTTCTTCAGCTTAGACCGTGTTTTTGACTTGACCAAAAGTGGCCCGAGAGTATCTCTGATCTAAAACAGAGCTCACAGTTGGTGCTGGCGCTAATGCTGACCGTGTGTCTGTTGGTGGTCTCTGTCTGTGCCGCTCTGAACTCCTACACCGTTTCAGCACATGCACATGCTCCTCCTGAGCTGTGGTTTTACAGCCCCAGAGCCTTGGTGGAGCACAGGAAGATCTCAAATCCCAGGAATTTCCTGCTGAGGAAGGAGCAAAACATGCTTTCCTGGAAATACTCAACACAAATGAGTGGGCATTTTAAAGCCCCTTTAACTCACTTGACAGAACATCAAGTCTTAAAGACGTAAGCAACCACTCACATTTACTTTAGAAAAGGTAAGGAGTAAAGACATGGTTTATTCATAGATTCTTTGCCATTCAAAAATTGAGTCGCTAAGATTTTGTTTTGGAAAGGTTTCTTATGTTCACTATGGCTGCATTTATTTGATCAAAAATACAGTAAAAAACAGGAATGTTGTGAAATATTATTACAATTTAAAATAACTGTTTTCTGTTGTAATATATTTACATTTTTAATTTATTCCTGTGATGCAAAGCTGAATTTTCAGCATCATTACTCCAGTCTTCAGTGTCACACGATCCTTCAGAAATCTAATATCTAATATGCTTCTAATATGCTGATTTGTTGAATAGAGCCTCTTTCAATGAATAGACCATCATTGAACAGCATTTATTTGAAATGTAGCCATCTTTGTATCATTATAAATGTCTTTACTGTCACTTTTGATCGATTTAGTGCGTCCTTCCTGATTAAAAGTATTAATTTCTTTAAAACAAAAAATCTTACTGACCCCAAACTTTTGAATGGTACTGTATAATAATCCCAATCTCATAAAGGACTGAAAATGTGCTTTTGAGCAGCTTCCTCTTGTCGAGTGAGTGTTTTAATGGTTTGTGCTGAGAAGGCAGGTCCGCACATGTCTGGTATTTCAGGGAAGGAAGGTTCCCTCTGCACATGACAGCATGAGGCTGGGGGGAAGTGACCAGGGTTAACGGGAAGTGTCCTGCCTAAAAGAGCTTCGGAAACGCTGTCTAAAAACAACCAAGACCATGCATTCAGTCTGTTGAGCTCATTTCCTGCTGCCAGACCTCACTATTCATCTCAAGTCTGCCTCTGACCCCTGACCTTTAAGGGCTCAAAGTGCACATTTGGCTGTGCAGATGCGTTAAGTAGATCTTTTTCATAACTGCATCATTTCTGCCCATGAGATGTTCCTGATATTCAGGAAGTGCTGACTTCTGCTGTGTTGTTATTGTTGGACATGGTCAGGTAACGGGTGTCCTGTGTTAAATTGGTCTTAGGACCTCCAGAGTGGCTCCAGTGTGAATAGCCACAGCCCTGAGTGACTGTAATTCATTATCTGTTATAGCACCAGCTGTCAAGGCCTGAATGCTTAGATCATGTCAGCTCTTTTGTTGCAGTCTGGGTGTCAATTTGCATTGCATAGTTAATGTGATGAATGTGCCGCCGCTGCTCCAGATGGCTGGTGACGTGTGATTTTTGATATGTTTGCGTATCTGCAGTTGTCATGACGCTCAGGAGGAGCTGCAGGAGTTCCAGGAGGGCAGTCGAGAGCTGGAGGCCGAGCTGGAGGCTCAGCTGGGTCAGGCTGAACACCGCATCCGAGATCTGCAGTCAGAGAACCAGAGGCTGAAGAGCGAGGTGGACACACTCAAGGTAGGACAAGAACTGAAATTTCTTTGCTCTTTTGAAATGACACAAAATCTCTGTCCTCAGACCATTTGTGACCCTGGACCACAAAACCAGTCATAAGGGTAAAATTGAGATTTATACATCATCTGAAAGCTGGATAAATGAGCTTGGCCGAGATACAACTATTTGAAAATCTGGAATCTGAGGGTGGAAAAAAAATCAAAATACTGAGAAAAGCACCTTTAATTTGTCCAAATTAAGTTCTTAGCAATGAATATTACTAATCAAATCTGAGGGTGCAAAAAAATCAAAATACTGAGAAAAGCACCTTTAATTTGTCCAAATTAAGTTCTTGGCAATGCATATTATTAAACAAAAATTAAGTTTTGATATATTTACGGTAGGAAATTTAAAAAAAAATTCTTCATGGAACATGATCTTTACATAATATCCTAATGATTTTTGGCATAAAAGAAAAATCGATAATTTTGACCCATACAATGTTTTTTTTGGCTATTGCTACAAATATACCCCAGCGACTTAAGACTGGTTTTGTGGTCCAGGCTCACATTTATGGAAAGTGAATCTCATGAAGCCTGTCAAGCATGTCCAAGTCATATTTTATTCCAATATAAAAAGAAATACAAAATTAGATTTTTCTTAAAAATAATTAACTTAAAAGTCATTTTTATTTTAAATAAAAACCTTTAAAAAGTAAAAAAAAAATTACCTATTGCTACAAATATACCCCAGCGACTTAAGACTGGTTTTGTGGTCCAGGCTCACATTTATGGAAAGTGAATCTCATGAAGCCTGTCAAGCATGTCCAAGTCATATTTTATTCCAATATAAAAAGAAATACAAAATTAGATTTTTCTTAAAAATGATTAACTTAAAAGTCATTTTTATTTTAAATAAAAACCTTTAAAAAGTGTAAAAAAAAAAATTTAATTAATAATTTTATTCAGCAAGGATGCGTTAAATTGATTAAAAAGTGACCAGAAAGACATTTGCAATGTTACAAAAGATTTATATTTCAAATAAATACTGTTCTTTTGAACTTTCTTTTTTTTAATACATCAAAGAATCCTGATGAAAATGTATTGCTGTTTCCCCATAAATATTAAGCAGAACAACTGTTTTCAGCATTGATAATAATGTTTCATGAGAAGCAAATCAGCATATTAGAATGATTTCTGAAGGATCATGTGACACTGAAGATTTGAGTAAGGATGCTGAAAATTCAGTTTTGCATCACAGAAATAAATTATATTTTAAAATATACATAAGAAATAGTTATTTTAAATACTAATGTTTCACAATATTACTTTTTTTACTGCGTTTTTGATCAAATGAATGCAGCCTTGTTAAGCATATGAGATCTTACTGACCTAAACTGAAAGCTAGTGTTTTTTGCATTGTGACATTATTTTTAATAAAATTTCATTTTACCACCCAAATGAATGTATTTAAACTGTGATGTAATTATGCATAATGGTAGTATTTGTTATACTTCATTTAGTTTTTGCAGTTATATTTAAAAATGCTTAATTGTCATGAGATTAGTGTCACAATGTCAAAATCTTAATTGTTCTAAAATAGGCTTTGTTTTATATGTACAAATTATATAATTGCAATGTTACAAAAGATTTATATTTCAAATAAATACTGTTCTTTTGAACTTTCTTTTTTTTAATACATCAAAGAATCCTGATGAAAATGTATTGCTGTTTCCCCATAAATATTAAGCAGAACAACTGTTTTCAGCATTGATAATAATGTTTCATGAGAAGCAAATCAGCATATTAGAATGATTTCTGAAGGATCATGTGACACTGAAGATTTGAGTAAGGATGCTGAAAATTCAGTTTTGCATCACAGGAATAAATTATATTTTAAAATATACATAAGAAATAGTTATTTTAAATACTAATATTTCACAATATTACTTTTTTTACTGCGTTTTTGATCAAATGAATGCAGCCTTGTTAAGCATATGAGATCTTACTGACCTAAACTGAAAGCTAGTGTTTTTTTTTGTTTTTTGCATTGTGACATTTTTAATAAAATTTCATTTTACCACCCAAATGAATGTATTTAAACTGTGATGTAATTATGCATAATGGTAGTATTTGTTATACTTCATTTAGTTTTTGCAGTTATATTTAAAAATGCTTAATTGTCATGAGATTAGTGTCACAATGTCAAAATCTTAATTGTTCTAAAATAGGCTTTGTTTTATATGTACAAATTATATAATATAATGTTTTTTTCTTCTTCATTATTTTAGGGTATAAATGCGACCTGCCAGTTTGTGTAGCAATCACCCTTTGATGTCACAAACCATGAGAATTATAACTTACTTAGGGTTAGCCAGTCATAACAGAGGTCATGTTTTAGGTACTAATAACCTGATGATGTGTTTGAGAGCATGAAGAGTATGCAGTAACTGGACTTCATGGAAATAAAATGCTACAAAAGTATACAGTTCGGCTTCTTTATGGGTACAAAATCACTTAATGGCAGAGGTACCTCCACACACCTTTAATCGGCTGATTTATCTGTAAAGCATCAGCAATGCTCCAATTTCCAATTGTGCTTCTTGGACAAGAACATTGTGCTGTTCTGTGATGCAGCATTGTCCAGTGTGAGAGCTGTCGAGGGTCTCTGTTAATCCAAAGTGTGCTGTAATTGGATTTCAGGATGAAGAGGAAGAAAATAGAAGGCTAATGGCTCAGCAGAAAAGTTCACATATAGCACAGTTGTTCCTCGAAGACCCTTAAAGAAATATCTTCTTAATGGCTTGGGTTTAGGTAGACCCGGCACAGAGGCTGTGATTTAAAGTGCTTGCTTGTATTTTGTGCAAGGTCTCCTTACACAAATTAAATTTGATCTTGTTGCTGTCCCAGAAAGCATGTTCATTAAGTGATCGCATTCTCAGAAACGCTAGACTAGTAGCCTTTGCCCACTGACCTTGCATTTGTTTTGGAGAATATGGGACACCCATTATTTTGCCATGGCCCAAAACAATGCGCTTATTTAGAATAAAAGAAATGAGGTGGAAAAAGTAGGTTACCTACAGAAGTCGGAAGGGTTGCCATGTGCACCAGTGATCCTCATTTTCCCGTTGCTCATTAAAGGGGCAATTCAACCAAAAATGGAGTCAAATGCAAGTAAAAAATAGCTTTTTTTCCCCTTAAGAAACTGATACAGACTTGTTGCTATTGAGCCACTGTGAGAAAAAATAAATCTGTTGTCAAAGAGGTTTGAGCTTGATCCAGAACGTCTGTAATTTGGATAGGATTGAGCTCTCTGTAGTTATAAGCTGGGGATGTCTGGATGTGGGCGTTACAGTAGGACATGTGGTCTTGTTATGGTTTTGACTCTTAATTTTTATATGTTTGGTACAGGAACACAGAAGGAAAAATAGTCCTTTCTGAATAGGAGTGTGGAATCCTTAGTTTTTTCTCACCTGCCATTGGCAGAAAGTTCAGGTTGTTTCTGATGGTGACTCAGACTGTGTCTCTCCTGTGTCCCTGACTGCAGGAGAAACTGGAGCAGCAGTACGTGCAGAGCTATAAGCAGATCTCCATGCTGGAGGACGACCTGGTCCAAACGCGCGGCATCAAGGAGCAGCTGCACAAATATGTCAGGGAGCTGGAGCAGGCCAACGACGACCTGGAGAGAGCTAAGAGGTACATGACAAGATCGTTTTGTCATTCTAAACTAACTTGGCTCTGAGTTCCTGGATTGCTAGACTACTTTATGACAAGACTAGCCTACATGTTACCAATGCCCAACAAGCATGGTGCAAGTGTCATGCTGAAGATACATTTAGGTCAGCATGTTTAAAATGACAACCTGGATTGTACAGGGCCACCATCACATCTCTGGAGGACTTTGAACAGAGGCTAAACCAGGCGATAGAGCGGAACGCCTTCCTGGAGAGCGAACTGGACGAGAAGGAGTCTCTGCTGGTCTCAGTGCAGAGGCTGAAAGATGAAGCTAGAGGTAAACTTTATGACAGGCCATACTTCATTTCACAGCATTGCCATTAAAGGTATAATAGCTGACATTTCCTCAGTTTTTCAATTTGACATGATGCGGAAATTATGAACGACTCTTCTTCACTATAATGACATGTATCCGAGTGAAATGGCTTATCAAATGAGGCAAAAAAATGTAATGCAATGCTTTTGGACAATACGTTAGCACAAAAAAGGTGATGTGCAAAGATACATCATTTATAAGAAACCCTACAAGTTGTGTGTATATTAATGCACTTATAATGGAAGTCAAGCATTTTTGTGTGCCAACACAGAAGTTTGCATCACCCTGGTTCTCTTGACAAAAATCCAATAGGATTTTTTTTTTTCCATTAGCTTTTGGATTATTGCAGAAAATAAGCTCTGTGACCAACAAAAGCTTGTGAATCACAATCTTCAGGAAAAGCATCATTTAAAGGGGTCATATGATGCTTTTTTAAAGATTATTATTTTGTGTATTTGGTGTAACAGAATATGTTGACATGCTTTAATGTTCAAAAAACACATTATTTTTCAAATACTGTACATTATTGTAGGTCTCTTTCTCTCTCACACACACACACACACACGATGCGCAACACTCCGCATTTGAACAGTCAATAGCAAATACTTAAACTAATAACAAAACAGTAGCTGATTCAGAAGCGCCAGATTGTCATAGCAAAGTCAGAATTACCTCCTCTCCTAGGTTCACGAAACGGTCGTCCATAAAATGCATTGCTGTTCTGTTGTAAGTGATCCAAATAAAGTGCTTTTGCTTTCGCACTGAAACACACAGCGTCTCCCTGACATGCTGCTTCAACACTAACTGCGGTTACTGACACCATGCCTTCTTTCTTTGCGTGCACATTTTGCGGGATTATGCAAATATTTCCACATAGTGGGGTAGATATGTGGGGGCGTGTTAGAATGAGCCGTTTTAGGGGGGCGTGGCAGAGTCTTAACTTTGATAAAGAATATCTCTTTGGTTTTGAGACTTTAGTCTTTGCAACTTTAGGGATCTTATCTATGCACAATCAGCTTGTAACACTCCAAAGAGAAAGGAAAACTTGAAATCGCATCATATGACCCCTTTAAGAATTCTGAAGCCTTAATAAAAATGGCAGAAGTAAAAAGCTAAATGTAGGCTATTAATTAAACTACACCACGGTCACATGACTTTAACGTCACCATCATTAAGCTTCAGATAACTTTCACTCTTTATTTAAAAAAACTTTTTTTCTAAAACTTTAAGTTAGAAAGGTTTCCAAGAGCATGATTATAAGCATAAGGCAGTGAAAGTGGACTAGTGAGTATATGAGTTTACATGATGATGTTTAATGTCTCGATAACCTCTAGTCCCATTTAGGCACTTATTAGCAGCCACCTTTTTCAAGAAAAGCTTTTTCTAAAAAAAAATAAAATAAAAATCAAGTGGGGTATTACTGATTTTGTAGAATAAAACATGATAATATCTTGAGCTTGTGTGAGCTACAGACTTTTTTTAGGCATTAACCAAAAACCGAAAAAAAACAAACAAACTTGACTTCAGGCCGATGGAATTGGAAGTGCTAAAATTCCAACTCATTCCCAGGTTTTGGCCTAAAAAGTACTTGCTTCCCTACAGCACTCTATTCTGGACGAAAAGTGAAGCTGAAATGTCAAAAAACTGAAAATGAATGGTCAAACTA